CCCCCCCCCCCCCCCCCCCCCCCCCCCCCCACCTTATAGCCTCCATTTCACTTGTGATTGAAATTTCATTACATCTCATTAGCGATATAAAATGAAATCGTCATGAATACAACCCCCACCCCCCGCTTACTTTTCAATTTAGGTTTCCCATTATCATATTCCCAAAATATTGTTAAAGGTGTTCGGTAGGTGCAGATAGGATGAAAAAAGGAGACCTTTGTTAGACCAGTCTGATTGCATCATGAAAATTGGCACCTCTCTCGCTCTCTCTCGAAGTGTAAAATGCTAACTCATGAGATTTCGTTCAAGGGCAATGAGATACGTGCCTATTAACTATCGATGAATGTTCATAGGAAGTGATAGTTAAACCTGGGGTGTGATTTCAAATGGCAGGCGTTATGATAGGTATCATGGGGTGTGCAATAGACTTACCTCCGTGGTGCACCCTGGGCAATGTATATTTAGACTTACCTCCACGTGGTGCACTCTGGGCAACGTATACGGCAAAAGAGTCTATTAACCGGCAGTTAACTTCTCACTTCAAACTACCAAGACCCCATCGCATTTCATATTCTGCTAATTTCACAGTACTCACTTAACCTTTCATCTACCTTTGTGTCTGTCTGTCTCTTTTACGTCTGTGAATCATTATTCTTTCCCTCTCTCGACTTTTTGCCACTTTGGTGTTCCTCTTCCTTTCTTAAAGCACGAAATCAACCAAAGTGTTAATGATAACTATCAAAACGCCTGCTATCTGAAATAAATAAATAAATAGTTAGACTTGACTATTTCTGTACAATAAATTAAAGCTAGCAATTTCGCATGTGCTACATGTTATTGCTAATTACTTACTTGCCTGTTAATGTGACCCAGAAGTGTCCAGTGATGAATAAATTCGGTTCAAATCAGCAGTACTTTACTTCCTACAAAAAGCAGTAATTACAAAATAGTCTAAGTTTTGAAATGTTACCTCAGATCTTAACACCAAGTACAGTGGAAAATATCTTTGTTAATTTGCTGTATGTTTCTCAAAAAATGGTGCGCGATAGACTTATCCCCATGTGGGGCACCCTGGGCAATGTATACTCATAGTCGAAAAGGTCTATAAAACGTCAGTTGACTTCTGACTTCAAACTACCATAACCCCACTGTATGTCATATTCGACCACTTTCACGGTACTCACTTTACCATTTTTCTCTGTCTTTGTGTCAGACTGTCTGTCAAATTTACATATGTGAATCACTCTACTGCTCCCCCTCTCGACTCTTTCTCACTTCGATGTCCCTCCCTCTGTGAGGCCCCAAGTCAACTAAAGGGCTCATGATAACTACCATAAAGCCTGCCATCTGATATAAACAACCGTTTCTCAAAAGGACCTCAAGGTCAGGCTAAGATGCATCTCCCTCCTCCTTTAGAATCTAATGGCCTCCAAGGGATACCTAGGATGCATTTATTCCTTCCAAATCAGTGAAGCAAGAGCTGAGATAGTTGGAGAGTGAGAGCTCCATGACAGATGGAATAAAAGGCTAAATTGTGTGCAAATGTTAAAGTTATGTACATCTAGGCACCCACATTGGCCGTCTAGACTAGGCGGATTTATGAGTCATCATTATGGTGTTAATTGAATTCTATCCGAGGATGAGTAACAAGGCAAATAAAAACTCCATGCACGTCGAATTTAAGTGAACGCTTTACCGAAATAAAATAGTCTTCTCTTAAATCATAATTTTGCCATATCATCAATCTATTATTGATATTTAAAATAAGGGGTCTGCGATAGACTTACCTCCACGTGGTGCACCCCGGGCAACGTACATTCATACGGCAAAAAAGTCTATTGACTGGCAGTTGACTTCTCACTTCAAATTACTATGACCCCACTCTATGTCATATTCGACCCCTACCACAGTACGCACCTCACCTTTGTTCTACCTTTGTGTTTGTCTCTTACATCTTCGAAACACTTCTGTTCCCCCCCCCCTCTCGACTTTTTTCAATTTAATGTTCCTTCCCCTCTGTGAAGCCTGAAGTCAACTAAAGGGCTAATGATAACCACCAAGACGCCTGCCATTAGATATAAATATAAATATTTAAAATAATATAACTTTAAATCAAATCCGTTTTTGTTAGAGGAAACACAGTAAATGATTAGATAGGAAAATCAAGCCAATAAGGTCACACAATGCCAATTCGAGTTAATTTATACGATGTCATGAAAATAGGTCACCAATATTCGAGGTTCGCCTTGATGGTAAATCCTAAAATAATAAAGAATATTTACTGCGTTATTTCACTTATTGTTAAAAATAGTAATAATTATATCATCATTATTTGATTTTGTACACACCCTTGGAGAATTGCAATAATCTTGTTTACTTCCGATTCTGCCGGGTGGCGTGAGGTCCTTATGAAAGAGAAACAAATATTATCACTGAATCCCTTCATTTACTATTAAAAGTAGCAAATAAAGGCATTTAGAATGAACCTGTGGACTTCTGGATCTGTTGCTTGTAGAAGTGTAGAACGATGGTTTAGAAAATGCCATCGGAGAATAATAATAGTCATATTGATCTCCGTAACCTCCTCTTGATGTTGATATTAAATTCGATTTCTCCAATGCCTGCATTATCTATGGAATAACAAAAAATTGAAAACCACAATGAAGCCTTAGTATTCATCATCTTCTTCTTCTTCTTTGTCTCGTCATGCCAATGCAAAGAAATACGACTCGCAATATTCAACGCCTCTATATTGCCTTCCCGGGGTGTGCAATAGACTTACCTCCACGTGGTGTAAAAAGTCTATTAACTGGCAGCTGACTTCTGACTTCAAACTACCATCACCCCACTGTATGTCATATTCGACTACTTTCACAGTACTCACCTCACCTTTTTTCCACCTTTGCGTCTGTCTCCTTTACATCTATGAAACACTCTTCTATTCCCCCCCCCCCCTCTCGACATTTTTCACTTTGATGTTCCTTCCCCTCTGTGAAGCCTGAAGTCAACTAAAGGGCTAATGATAATTATCAAGATGCCTGCCATTTGGTAAAATACTGCCTGCCCACACTCACTTCTAGGGATTCGACGTCTCTCAAATGTTTCGCGAGTCCACTGACTCTTAACTCAGAGGGTCAATTCGCGTCAAGGAGCAAAGGGAGGGGGGGGGGGCAAAATTGGTGAACCACATTATTGAACCACTTCGCCGAGGAATGAGCGCTTCCCTCTTTCCTTCCTACATCACTTCCCCTCAACCCATTACTAGTTGCTCAGGCAACGCTTGTCCCATCCAAATCTTCGCTTCCTCAATCGTCAAAAACTTCTGTGTTCTGTTGGTTTAGGGAAAATCATGCATTCGATGAGGAGGGGGTAGAGATTGCCATCTCAAAGTAGAAACACTTTAATATCTGAGCGCACTTTTTACTGTTTGGTGGTTTGGTTGCGGTTAGCGATCATCTTCAAAGTAAACGTAATCATTGCGTAGATTTATATCATTCGTAGAGCACTTGTATTTGGTTAAAAATGTAACGAAATTATTATTTTTTCCTACACGTGAATTGGAGTCAAAATAAGTTACTTGAATTACTGGGATTGGAGGAGATAACGATAAGACACCATTTTAGATGGAAAACTAATATGAATTTGCGTTCTACTCGCCTATTGGCTGGGTCGATCAAGGAGCTGAGCCAATAGGATCTTAGGCAATGGGCTATTCATTCCAAAATGCTGTCTATCGCTTAGAGAAGATGGATATTATTGGAGTAGTGAGTTGAGCCAATTACCGAACTTCAGCATACACATGTCCCTTTACTTATAAATCTTCCTGAAACCACATACCATTTTCTTCTGAGTAAAGTGAGGAAGTTTTGGATTAATGAAAAGGGGTCAATCTATCACCCATATAATTTTCCCAAGCTAAGTCATATGATTAGTCTGTTAAGTTTGTCGTCACAAAATGCCCGCTAATAAGAAAATTTCTCACTGCAAATATAGCGGACAACCAAGCAGCCCAATTGACCACTTACCTGATATTGGCCATCTGGATTAAGTACATATTTCTCCTTTCCACACAGTTTAATGCCCTCTTTCAATTGGCCCATTGTTTCTGACATTTTTTGCAATTGATTTTTCACTTCCAGCCACTTATCCATCCCCTCCTATAGAGAGAGAGAGAGAGAATATAACAAAGAATGTAGAATAATTGGTGAAAAACGCTCCATATTTCTCTCAATTTAATAGTTGAAGGTTAATCAAATTCTAATATGCACACTCGATTCTATGTAATTGAGCTCCGAAAACTGGATGTCTGATTATTGAAAATGGGAATCCGCCTTCAAAAAGATCGATTTATATCAAAAAAACGGGAAGTAGGAGAGTGAAGTGTACAATTAACATCTCTGCTTCACCAATCAGGAGTGAAGGAAAGTCGTGAAAGCATCATGAGCAAGTCTTAGCTAGAAGCTCAAACGGAAAAAGGACTGAAGGGCTAAAGGAGTTGATGGGATGGGAAAGAATAAATTTTGGCCGATTTCAAGGAAATGATGAAAAAAAGTAGAGAATGTACGGCGATTGACTTAGTAACTCCTGAAAGGTTTAACTTACAATAGCCCAATAAGCAGTGCTCACTCATTTCGACTAATCAATACAAAAATGGTCAGTTTAAGTACAATAAAATATGCTATTGTAATCATGAAAAAACAATCGAATGGAAGGAAAGCCCTGAGAGAGAGGGGGGAATGAATGGTGTGAAGTAGAAGTAGAAGTATCCAAAGTTCTTTCATTTGGTGCATTAAAGTCAGGTTGTTGTGTGAGGAGAATACATATTCAGGTTCTAGAATTCTACAATTCAAAGCAAATGCCTTGTTCCTTGGGTCCCTGAATGAACTCAAATTTTTTCGGAAAGTAATGATTAGTGGTGTTAATTTAGTGACTCGTTACGATATCAATAATATAAATACTTAAATTTACTTCTTTTTTTAATAATATTTCTTTCAAACTTCTACTGACTGACGGTTTGAAGAAGAATCAAGTGGAATGGTTAAATCAAAGATTTTTTTATGGGGAATTCAACCGAGGCACCCACAGGCTGCCTTGTGAATATTTTACTCTAAGTAATTTCTGCACAAAGAAACTAAGCTGGCTATTTTTTTAAATTTTAAATGCTTATTAAAGAGCAATTTTAGATAGCACTACGAGAACAGTATGGCTGAAACAAGGAATCGTGTGAACACAAGGATAATTTTGAAAGTGCGACGGTGCTACTGATTGCGTGAGGAGACAATTCCAGTCGTGAGAGCAGAGACCTCCCAACAGTCAATAGTGACCAAACTTCCTGTCAGTCATAACAAGCACCCTTATCCACGGAGCTCACTCCTCCTATTTCCTCGACATTCTTAGATGAAGAGTGCAAAATTTGGCTTTCAATTAAGTGAAATTGTGAAATAATAAAGCACAAAGAAAGGCTGTTAACTAACTCCATTTCTTTCAAGTTCTTCTATTAGAAGTGGAAGCTGTTGGATTCGAGGTGAAATTGCGCTCAATTGTGTATGCAATTCTCGCAGCAAAGTGTCAGTTTCCGCGTCATGCGATTGAACCTCTCTTTCCGATCTAATGCGAGATTCCTCCAATTTTTTGAACAAATGGCTGATTGCTGCGTCAAGCTCTCTTTCAATTGTAGGTGAACTTGACGATTCTTTTCTGCGCAAGCTCTCCTCCAAGCGAACCAGAGATTGGTCGAAACGTTTAATTTCCTGTATTTTGCCCAGATGTGCAAGAGCTAACTAAATTAACAGGGGGAAAATAAGAAAACTTTAAGACGCATCAGCAGCGCTCAACTTTGAACCTTTCTAATGAGGAGTAAGAACCGCAGGCTGAGTTTGGCTCGACTGATTTAGTCAAACTACCACCACCCCACTGTATGTCATAGTCGGCCCCTACCACAGTACTCACCTTACCCTTTCTGAGCCTTGGTGCCTGTCTGTTTCTTTTACATCTGTGAATCACTTTTCTGCTCCCCCTCTCGAATTCTTCTCATTTCGATGTTCCTCCTCCCCTCTGTGAAGCTCGGAGTCAACTAAAGGGCTAATGATAACAATGAAAACGCCTGCCATTTGAAATGAATACAAGTGGACGTTTCTCCATTTTTTTCTTCCACCCCTTGATATGCGGGAAGCTTCACGTTGGAGTAATAAATAGGATATTTTATCGCCTGCATTCTCGAGCCTAGAAGGAACAAACCCACTTGTCGTAGTAAAATCCACCATTTTATAAAATCTATGATCCAAGGTGGACGTTCCTGGGGCAGAAGAGGGGGAGGGGGGGGGGACATGATGACCCGCAGGCAGACTAAATCGGACTCAGAGCATGGGCCAATAAAAATCATTCAAAGGACTCTCCCTGAGTCGATGGAAATCTAGAGCCCTCATTCACACTACTTCTTGCTCTACGTTTGCTTCATTTACTAGCACCATTTACTTCTAACCCTTGAAATGTCCCATCTCTAAGATATTTCTGAATAAAGACCAACAACAAATCGGATCAGTTAATTTATTACCAGTTTACTATTTTGCTCTTCCACCCTTAACTTATTGCAAAATTTTATTTATTTCAATTGAATTAGTATAGAGCTGAAGGATTGAAAGTAGGCTGTCTACAAATGAGCACACGCTTGCTAACCTTCCAGAAAGCACCGCTGAGAAGCTACACACCCCACATTTGTGTAGGGACGGCACAATTTCCCCTTTCCTCTCTCCTATGTGTAATCTCAATGTTTCCCAGACGAACTTAATCTAACTTTGTACCTTTTCCATTCTGTATTATCTTAATAAATACTCATTTTGGAACACGTTTTTTACGATAAAAATCAAGATCGAAATTGCTCCTATTGGCGGGCACAAAGTGGACGCGGTGATTGATCGGTCTCTGTGGAAATACAGCTATTTTCAATCCGACTGTACTTCACCTTTTTGGGTGCGCGATAGACTTACCTCCACGTGGTGCACACTGGGCAACGTATACTCATGCGGCAAAAAAGTCTATTAACCGGCAGTTGACTTCTGACCTCAAACTACTATGGCCCCACTGTATGTCATTGTCCATCACTTCTTAGTACTCATCTTACCTTTTCTCTGCCTTTGTGTCTGCCTGTCCGTCTCTTTTTCAGCACCGAATCACTCCTCTGCCCCCACCCTCCCAACTTTTTGTGACGCCCGAAGTCGACTAAAGGTCTAATGATAACCACCATGAGGTTCGCCATCTGATATAAATAAATACATCCCTTCTTCCTCCTTACTCACTTACTCTCAATGTACCTTATATTTATGAAGGATTTTCTCAAATTAGATGCCTACGAATAAGAGTTTGGGGGGGGGGGGGGGGGGGGGGGGGGGGGTAGGGGGTGGAGGGGAGACCCTGAAATGATTACAATGGCATCATTTATAAAACATTTAATTTAAAAAACGAACCTCATTGAATTTTCTGCCTCGACACTCAGCACAAATGGACAATTTAAGAGCGGAACAGTACTGAAGACCGAAAACCATTGAATGGCATAGCTGGCATTCTTGCGGTTGTGAAATTGGAAGGGGGAGGCTGGAGGTGGAAGACCTTGATGAACTTCGGGGCAGTTGAGAAAAGGTGTCTGCGAGTTTTCTCCATCTTGGGAATGATGAGTTGTTATCGTCTTGACGGTTCTCTTTATTCAAAATAGAAAGACGACAATACTTCTTTAAAAACCGCTCACGTTGGCTTTAGAGTTAGTTTAATGCCAGAACTTACCAGGGGTTGAGTAAACTGGCGATTGGAGAGACAGGCTCTCCCTAAGCAAGTACGCATTAGCACTTGCACAACGATCTGTGTCGGGGATGAGGTTTTTAACACTGCATTTTAATCCACAGATGGGACAAGTCACCTCAGTAGCTCTGTCATTGACAGCTATGCAGGGGGTTAAACAAAAAGAATGACTGCAAGGCAATATATGAGGATCCATGACTCTAAAAAAAAGATGAAATTCAGATAATGAAGTACGAGAGAAGAGGTGCAAAACAAACCCGGAGGGTTTTCTTATTAGGAACTCATATTATACTGCTTAGATCGCTCATGCTCATATTTAGGGAGGCACATATTTATTTCGATTAGTCAGAAACCAATGCTTTGGTCGCATAGAGTTCAAAATGACCACTAGAAATGAATGCAAGTTAGGAGAATATCGGTCATTGGCTAGATCAGGGCATATAATCAGCATTACGTTGCTCATTCAGGAGGAGATTTGATGCCAAGATGGCAAGTTGAACGTCGTCTCTCACTCACCTGTGTTCGGGTTTTCCCCTTTCGCACATTACGTACCTTATCTGTATGAGATTTCTGATTACGGACCCATTGTAGCCACTCTTCTTACATAGATTAGTTGGCTGACTTTCAAAGTACACGAACGTTTTCGCTCCTCGGTGCATTTCAATTCATCCTTCGCCCAATAATTACATAAATTCAATTCAAATGTATCCTCCCTTCCTTGAACATACTCCCATGGCTTATTCAAGATTCTTTGGTTTAATTTTACTCATAGTACAAAGAGTTTTGGGAATGGCAGTATTATCCTATTAGCATTTACTAAGCTCATTGTTACTCAAAAGGGGGAGAGGGGTGTGCGATAGACTTACCTCCACGTGATGCACCCTGGAAAAAATGCTATTAACCCGAAGTTGATTTCTCGCTTCAAACTACCATCACCTCACTCTATGCCATATTCGAATATTTCCGCAGTACTCACCTCACCATTTTTTCTATCTTTGTGTTTGTCTCTTACACCTTTGAAACACTCTTCTGTTCCCCCTCCCCCCCCCCCACCTATCGAAATTTTCAATTTGATGTTCCTTCCCCTCTGTGAAGTCTGAAGTCAACTAAGGGGCTAATGATAACCATCAAGACGCCTGCCATTTAATATAAATAAAAAAATTATTTGTTACTCAAAAGGTGATCTGAACCTAATTTAGTCGCACTTTTAGAGTGAAAATCTCTGTCTGGAGAAATGTTGCCTTACCCACGTCAAACATTCATAAAAAACATCGATTGGTGCGGTAGTAGTAGTAGTAGTTCCAAGGCCCACTTACGTCATGAACCGCTTTTGCACCGCAATACAAATCAATAACTTAAAATGCATTATATGTGAGAGCATGTGCTCGGTCTATAGAGAAACCCTCAAGGTCACAAAGGCTTTAGGGATTAGGCGCGCTTCCTGCATGGATGGTAGGAATAGTATTAAAGAAGTGTGGCAAATATGCACACTCTTAATACGTCAAAAAAATTACACCTAACTGATACCAAAATAAACTTGAAAAAATGAGCCTATAAAGAATGAGATTAACCTGCCAAAGCGATTATTTTTTTGAGACGCGGGTTTACTCTAGAATATTCCGTGTAGCATATATTTTTTGGCGGAATATGATCTATGAAACGTGACTGAATAGGTAAGCAACGATAGTCATAAATCATGCAAACGACTTTAAATATATAAGAAACTGTACCTCCTTGCTAACTATGGCATATAAGGGGTGGGGGGTGGTGTCGTATTTAGAGACTACGTTTTTATCCTAGAAGAGGAAAAAGTTCCAGAGACACAAATAGAAATTCGATATTCTTCTCATGACTCTAATAAAGATTAGGTAAAATGTGCAAACCAAAAGAGAAGACGGAAAAAATTTCATGGGTTCAAGTATCTAGTTGGATAGGAACATTGAGGAAAAGAAGGTAAGTGAAGTAAAATGGTGGCTGAAAACAGACGTTCATAGTTGTGAGACGCATAGGGAACTTCGTTTGGTACTCTCACTTGCCTGGGTGTGCTTGGTGTTTTTACCAAGTGAGTTGAAGTTCATACGCTTTACTCAGATGTGATCTTAACAATCGGGTTTCCACCCGAGTTGAAATATAGACAGAATTAAAATTTACAGCAGCTGTTATTTCCTTCGAAAATGTCATAAACCGTTTAATGTACCTTGACAGCTACACAATTCTCCAGCAAGTGGAAAAAGAAAGTAGTTAAAACTTTTGCCTCAACAAATTTTAAACCACAAAGATGGAATAACTACCTCCTCCCACTGCCAAATCTGTGCTCAATTTTGCACTTTAGGCACTTGCCTTGTAAAGGATCGATTTATGGTTCACTATTGACCATTGTAGAAAATTAAAGAACAATACTAGTAAATCTATACACCTCAAAAATGCAAAAATCCTTTCAGATTTAAATGCTTAAATGAATAAACGTAATGGGATTGGGATGAAGGATTAGTCTGGATTTTGTCTGTCCACCCCTAAAGATTCGAGCATTTGGAATTCAGCCCCCACCAAGAAAGCATGGAATTCAAGGCAAGATCCAAAATAGTGAAATAAATCTCCACAGAACTGGAAAACGCAAATAATATTACAGATAAGTGCAAAGGAATAAGAATCGATCCATGGTAATATGTTAATGAATGCGATATATTGGGTTGGCAACCAAGTCATTGCCGTTTTTGTTGACGGATTCACTCTATACTTACTTTCGTTTTGTTAACGTGGCCAGAGCATCTAACCTATATTTTTTCTTACTGTATGGGCTTCTAGGTTAATTAGTAAACAATTTTTTTTTGTTTAGTTCTTTAGTTTTGTTTTTATCCCAATTTAAATATGAAAGAAGAGGACGTGCACTTCCGACACATTTTATTGTATTACTTCCGAAAAGGCAAGAACGCATCCCAAGCACAAAAGAAGTTATGTGCCGTATATGGAGATGAAGCCGCCTTAAAAGAAAGGCAGTGTCGAAATTGGTTTGAAAGATTTCGTTCCGGTGATTT